GAAATCTCCCAAATTTATTGAAATGTTAATAACAAATTAAATGATAATAACAAATTATCCTTCAATAGGGAAGTAAAGAAGAAGGTGTATTTAACTATAATTTAAATCAAAAAGATTTCCAAAAGGTTCCTTAAATCAAAAAGATTTCCTTCAAAAATTATTCAAATCTTAAGGTTTTAAAGCTTTGAAAAGTTGTTTCAAAGCTTTGAAAAGTTGTTTCAAAGCTTTGAAAAGTTGTTTCAAAGCTTTGAAAAGTTGTTTCAAAGCTTTGAAAAGTTGTTTCAAAGCTTTGAAAAGTTGTTTCAAAGCTTTAAAAAGTTGTTTCAAAGCTTTGAAAAGTTGTAAAATATTATTTAGTATTTAAAATTAAACTAACATCAGTTGAGCTATAAAATAAAACAAGTTTATGAGTATTATGAGTATATTTATAAGTATTATGAGCTATAAAATAATGACTAAATTGTTTGGTTTTTAGATTCAATTTAATTTGATTCAAATATCTAAGTTTTATCTAAGTAATGGACAAAATCTGTTTATCTCTGGATTTAATAAACCAGATGCTTTGCATAATGCAAGGTAGATGTCAAAATTGTTATATTCTATAAAACTTGTACTTTTGAACAAGAATATTAGTCAGCTATCTAAAGGAACAGTTTTTGTTAGACAACAACTTACCAATCTACAAAGGATTGTTCAGTTTTTGTATTTTCTTAAATTCCATGGCAGCTAAGTGCATCTATATCTACAGCAGCTCTTACTAATGATTTTAATTATAATAATTCATTACTAGAGTATAAAACTATTGATTTAATTATTGCTAATGCTGCTCTAAAAGCTTTTAGCAATCGCATGTGGTACCTCACTGAAAAGTTGGCTCTGCTGTCTCTCTTTAATAACAACTTAAAGGACAAACAGAGGGAAAGAATTGCAAATAAAGTACTATTGCCAAAAAATTATGACAATAAAATAACTTCAAAAAGAAAAGAGTCAGGGTTTGGTAAACTTCCAATGCTTCTTAAAAGGGCCGTATTAAATATAAACAGTAGTTTTTTCAGGAAACCGATTACTGAAGGGCAATAAAACAAAAGTTTTCTTGTTTCTAAAAATGTGACCTAATATGCTGTGAATGACTCTACTGAACCTGAAGTAAGGTTTTGTAGTGATCGTGGTAACTGCTGAAAAATATGTTCCAGAACATTATGCAAGTTGTAGAAAACAACAGAAATATGTTACTCAACCAGAGAAAAAGGCACTTATACATTATACATTTAATTCTTATGAAAAATCTAATTTCTTTTAATTTAGATTTAATAGAGTTAATTTTTAAAATTGTACACACATGATTTTCTTAAACTGTACACACATGATTTTCTTAAACTGTACACACATGATTTTCTTAAACTGTACACACATGATTTTCTTAAACTGTACACACATTAAATTGTACACACATGATTTTCTTAAACTGTACACACATTAAATTGTTAATATAACATCAGCTTTTTTATTGGTATTTGAATTATTTAATGTTAAAATTTTTGACTTAATATGTTTAGCATATAATATATATTTGAGTTTAAATTTATTATAATTTATGTTTAAAGTGGGTTACAACATATTTCAGATTAATCCAAATAAACACTTTGACTGATTCCTTTGGTGGACTTAAGACCAAATTTTATTGATGTAGTTCTTAACAAAAACACCATTTCACTGAAAGTAAAAGATTTACCTGAATAAAAGTTTTGTAAATTAGGTGAATGAACCCCTTCTTCCATTTTCCCTCCCCAAATAGCGTACCAAGTTCTTATTTATTCTACTCTCTTTATACCAAAAAACTTCTTCAAATAAGGTGAAAAAATAAATCTTAGGTTTCTCAAAGTTTTGTATGTCAAAAATTGAAAAACATCATTTTTGATTGTAAATGGTATACTTTAATTTAAATCTGCTACCACCAACCATTATCAAAATATATTCAAATTTTGCCCAAATCTTAGAAGTAACCTCCTTACCAAAAACAAGTCAGGCTAAATTACTCAAAAATTTAAAAATTATAATGAAGCAGGATCAACCTAGGGTATATGTATGTTTATATATAACATGCTGACCATAAAGATAGAATGTTTTTTTATTTTATTAAAACATGATGCAAAACATAAGAAGTTTCAGTAGAAATAGCAAACGTAAACGTAAATGTACACACAATGTATAAAATGAGCATAGTTAATTAATTTTCGAAGTTAATATTTGGTCATTCTCCCTTTTGCTGCCAGAACTGCTGATAGTCTCGTAGGCATTGAATGAACAAGGTGAGCACAATATTCTGCAGTGATCTCTGTGCACCACACTTTCTTTATAGTTTCTTTGAGGTCCATCAAGGAGGTTGGCCTGTAAGCAGGGACCTTTTTCTTCAGGGTTGCCCAGCAGTTTTTAATTGGATTGAGATCCGGAGATTTTCCGGGCCACAGGTTGATGCAGCTGATGCCTTGACCATTGATCT